AATTCTCTAATTATTTTTATTTTTAGCAGGATAAAATGTTAATCACCAAAAAGAAAAATTTTAATTGGAGACAGAAAAATCATATATCTATAAAGAATAAACAAAAACATCTAGAAATGATGATTCATAGTTTTTTTGTTGTTGTTTATTGATTGATTGATTGATTTTGATGGGGACAAGAGTAAGCAGAATCTACCTTCTTCATGCAAAACAGTACTTTAAAATTAAAATGATTTATCTATATAGGCCAACAAATATTTCCTTCAGAGCCCTATTTGTTAACTCATCTAACATATTTTAAGATACAATAAGTCCCCAGGTTATGAACAGAACATCTGACTTACAGACCACTTGTACTTGCCCTTTAATGTTATGTAAATTTGCCCTCACTTTGAAATGATTGAATCAACCCCTACTCACAACAAATTCTTCATCACAGTCACCTTCATTTGCTGCACGTGCAGCTTTTAAATGCTTTTTCTTGCACTAAAGTAAGGCTAAATAAGAACTGTATGTACCTGTTCTGACTTACCTACAAATTCAACTTAAAGACACTCAGGAACAGATTTTGTTCATAACCCAGGGACTGCCTTATTTCTCCCTATATGTAAAAACATACTCAATAAAAATGTATGTTTTACAAGCATTAATATTTAAAAGTCAAACCTATTCAGTTGGAAACTATGTGAACTCTACTCCCCACACTTACAAAATATTCAACTTCCCAGTGTAATGGGAAAATAATGTTATGATAATTTACTTCATCTGTTAGTTTTAGATTTTCGGATTAAAGAAAACCTTTCCCCAGATAAGTATTCAGTAAGCAGAGAAAAGAAAAAATAAACTTGTCACTGAAGTTAAATGAAAAATTTAATTGAATGTTTTAAGGAATATTATTTTTACTACAAAAATGATTTCAAGACAAGGATAATCTGCTTTATTTTTTTAGTCGCAATGATAAAAGTCATCATAAGTTAACATTTGAAGAATGTAAACAAAAAACAAACAAACAGAATGCTTTAAGTACATCTAAAGATATAAGACTGTGTTGCTTGGTTTTATTTTTCCCTGAAGTTCTAAAAAAGGGAACTAGGAAATAAAAGAAGGTAAGAGTGAATTGTGTCATGTGCTAGCTTCATTTTGTTGTGTAATTTAGAGCCCAGCAAGGAGATGATTTAGTCTACTTCATTGCTTGTGTGACCACAGATAAATTTATTTCAGAACTGTGTTTTGTAATAAGGAACAAAACACAAAATAACATGAGATGTGGATTTTAAAATTATTTGAAAATTAGAACAAGGAGATTTAGTTTAGACAACAACAATAAAGGAAGTAGTTAAAAAATCTATTACTTTGTCCAGTCGTAAAAATGGGATTATTTGCCTTTATTTAATATCTTTGTAAAAAGTATTTTAACTTAGTGTATCTAAACTGCTCTACAATTCAGATTTCTATAAAAAGAAGGGAGTAATATGAAATGACAATTATTTGTGAATCACATTTTCTATTCCATTTCTAAATGCTGCAAAGGGCTAGAACATTTTATTCCTCTTGAAAATAAAACATTCTTTTCTTTACTCGGCCATGATTTTCCCACATCTAACTAGGTTATGGTACTAAAACTGAGAACCATAAGACCCCTAGGGTAAGAGGTTTAGTTTCCAGTAGAACATGTTGTCAACCATGTTTTGTCATGCACAGAACAATACCTTAGAGGAAACTGCACAAAATTCTCCATTTTTTCAACAAGGGTGACTGAAGAAGAGCAGCAGAGAAAGAAAGGGCTGACTCTCAGTCACAAGTTTCTACAGGAACTGACTTGTCAGGAGGGCCAAAGTTCTTTCAAAGTGTACGTGAAATAAGCTATGCCAATAAACTAAACTGCAATGATTCTTATTTTTCAAACAATCTAATGTTCTTCTTTTACTTACTATAGTAGGACTCTTACTTTCTAATGTAAAACCAGTCATACATACACCATGTTAACTGTCAGCAGCAAGGGAGAGGAAAAAAACTCACCATAAGAATATGGGAACTTCAAAAAAAGAGAAGTGCACTAAAATAACTCAACCTTTATAGTGATATCTCCATTTAAAAAAAAATTCTACATATGATTTCTAATAGAATTTGAAAACAAGAGGCTAACCGACAACTTTCATTTATATAGCACTGGATTTAACTTAATTCTAACAAATTCTTATACAATTTTTTATAAGCCTATATGGTGCTTATTTCTTTAACGATTTGCAGAGCAAAGGGAAAATACTATATATCTAGTGATATGATGGCACCTTCATGAGACATAAGCACAGGAGGGTAAGTGCACAGGAAAAAAAAGGCTTATGTTAATTTCAAGGCGGGTTAGGAACACAGGGAGAGTAGATATTTAAAAAATGAGATGCCTGAATTTAGCTTTAACTGCTACCCTCATTTGTCTCTAATGTGCCATTAGTATTCAATAGCTAATTTTTATAACACAGATTCTATGTTAAATGTAGAAAGATGCCTGATACAGAGATGAAGAACTGAAGGAATCATTAGTTTAAGCTACCAGCATTTTCAGAGGTAGGGAGAAGTTTACAGTTCAGATTATTAATGGGAATATCTTGATCTAAAGCTAATCTGCAAGAACATTTTGCATAAAGTTTATTTAGAGAAATGTTTAAGAAGATAAATTTTAAGAAATGGGGACCAAAGCAAAGATCAATGAATGCACTTCAATTTTACTAACAATCTTTCATCTTATTAAAACTTTCAGACCTTTTCTGCAAACCAATGCGTGTGGTTTTTAAATATAAGATTTCAGTTCTCCTTAGAGAATAAATGAGTTTATTGCTTACACCCTCTGATATTATCCCTTTTCATAATAATATGAAAGAAAGTGTTTGTTTTCCTTTTAAACACATCTTCTATAGCACCACTCAAATAGGTCCACTTCACTCGCCCTGAAGAAGGCATTTTGGCATTTGACTTTTATGTTCACTAAGTACAAAGGAATGCTCTTTAAAAACTTAGACAATATTTCTTTTGAATGTTCTAATCTATCAGTTTCAAACATGGAGGAAGAACTAGAATAACTCAACTAAATAAACAGATTCTTTCTTGCCTATTTAAAATTGCAATAAAATAATCTTACTCTCTTTTATTAGTTGTAAATCACACTGGGAAATTGTAACAGAGTCTGAATGGACTTTTAAACTTTCTAAATCAACTGAGGATGTTGCACAATGCCATTAAAGGTATATCTGCACACATAAGTGGAAATATGGAATCAAGGCCATTTCAGTTCTCTCTAGAGTCTATAGATTCTGAAATTCTGTTTTTTTCATGAATTTTACTAACCCAGCTAAATGTTTAATTAAACTCAAAGTATTTATACCGGAACCTAAACCATTGAGAGAAGATTGAAACAAGAACTTAAAAAGGCAATCTTCATGGCTGTATGTAATATCCAGATGGAAAAATCTTAGGACCTACTCAAAGACGTTTTGGCTACAAGGCAGTACAAAGTGTAGTTATTAAACTACTTGCTTCCTGCTAAGCAGGTCTCCTTCGGCGAACATTTCAAAGATCTTGGCTTTAAGAAAATACAATTTCGCTGCCACAAAAACACAGAAGTACTGAACAGGACACCATTTGTTGTTTGCAAAAATTTTTGCAGATGTTTAGAAACATTACTTATTTATTCAATCATTGGCAAGCTGTCACAGTAATCTTTAAGAACTAAAGTTGTATTTAACCACAATCCACAGCTAATGCTTTAAGAATTGAGACCAGGTTTTATGTTGGCAAACCCTAAGCTGATTCATTGTTAATAGCTGCTGAAATTTCAGTACCTAACATATAATTAGGAGGCAAGTCTAAAATCTTGGTTGAAGCACATTTTTGACCATTTTAAGCCACAAATACACATGGTAATGATTCATATTTTTTTCCTATTATTTTTTTCCAATATTTGTCTTTTAAAAGATAGAGGAAACATTTTTCTTTTTTTCCTTTTTTTTTGTGATTTGGAAACCTCTTTACATCAATATGGGATATACAATATATTATGCCATATCATATTGACCTGCTAATGCCTAACAGAGCTAGCAGTGACTTTCAATACATATAATAAGCTTTGTTAAAGTTTTCCCAGGAAAATCTGGAATGACTTTTTATGCTGCCAAGAGTAGCTTAATTTTCCCGTGAATTTCTCAACTAGGTTAATAAAATCCAGAAACTCTTCAGAGTTAGTGACAAACTTGTCTTTTTTTTTTTTGTTGTTTAATGATCCCATCTACTGATAAAGCAAAGAATAGCAATTGGGTAGAAAGGCTTCTTTTCAACCGTACCATCAATGAATATGTGTCTAAGTACTTGTATGATGTCTATTGGTGTTAAACTCTTATTTAAACACAAGATTAAAATACCTATTGGCCTTAAATATGTTTTATAAAGGCATGTTCACGAACTAGTTTACCGGAAGAAGAAATCATTTGTTACAGAATATCTCTGCTTTGGGATGTTAAGCTTTAAAACATGATTTGCGTATGGTCGTATCCTAAGTACATACCTAGTCTTTGTGCTGAAAGTTCGTAAGGGATAGCTCTAAGTCTCTTAAGGTTTCTAAGAAATACAGAACAAATATGATAAATTCTAAAACACAGGGGATGCTTTTGAAAGGCCTATATATAAAATGATAATCCACGCTTTCTGCTTGAAATAAAATGAGATCCAAAGATATGCAATTAAACCTCTAAAAGAGACTATTCTTTATTCTTTCAATGAATATTCTTCTTAGAATGTCTAATCTCTAATCCCAGAATTAACGTATATGTCTTTGTTCATTTTTAGTGCATTCTTTGTGCATTTTTAGTATTGGTAAACTACCAAAAAAAGAGTCATCATATTTCAAATTCAAAAGAGATTTAATAGCTACTGAACATAATAAGCAACATAATAAAATCATATTTTAGCAAGACATAAGAAAACATCACGCCATCTAACTTCTTTTCCAGCCGGTGATGGAGGATGCTCCCATCTTGGTCAGTCCTACGCGGATAGAGACGTCTGGAAGCCAGAACCATGCCAAATATGCGTCTGTGACTCAGGAGCTGTTCTCTGCGATGACATAATATGTGATGAACAAGATTTAGATTGTCCCAACCCAGAGATCCCATTTGGAGAATGTTGTGCGGTTTGCCCACAGCCTCCAACAGTTGTGAGTTTTTTAAAAAAAAATTACAAATCTGCAAGACTCATATATTCACATGAATAGCTCCTTTATCATATTTTGATTATGTAACAATCTTTGGCTTAGTTCATTCTTTCATTACGTTGTCTTATTTATTTATAAATAATTCAGTAGGTACTTAGTGTCATGTATCACGAATGTCTCTCTTCATAATAAAATAAATCATCACTTTCATTTAGCAGATGTTTCTGATCTATAAGACATTTTCCAATCTCTTTAGGATATCTTCTTATAAGTAAAAATTTTGCTAAGTATGGTACTTTATTTCTTGATGAAATGTCCAAGTACATTGGGAAAAATATCTCTAGTTCAAATTGTCTCCAGTGATACCATTACTACAAATATTATTGCCTAAAAGCTTCTAGTGTTTCATAAATATTCTAAAGAACCATACCAGTTAGGAAAAAGTAACGATGCAAACATTTTACTTCCTTTGGTATATGCTCAATTAGAAAATTAAGAAGAGCAAGTTAGACATAAAACACATATTTGAGGTATACTTTCAGCTCTATTAAAATCAAGACTGAATATGAACAGAAAATATGCTACAATCATTTGCACCTAATTTTGTTTACGTTCTTAAAATAGTTAAAAGAGAGGGTTTATCTGGGTTGCCAGCTGACATCCAGGGTAGATATAGATATAGGTAGTGACTCAATTTTATTTATCTCGCTTATTAGAACAACAACAAAAAGAAAAAATAATGTATCTAGTTCTTGAACAACATAAACATCTTTCCTCTGAGAAATCTGGCGGATTTAAGAGACTCACACATACAGCAAGAAGATGGGCAATATAAAATATCATGTGGTGTAATCAAGTGATTTAGTATATACATAGTATGTTATAAATTTTAAGAAAGGTTTGCTTTTCTGTACTTAAGAATGTATTCTTTATTATAAAAACATGCCCTATTCAGTTATGCTTGGTCATTAGTAGTCTGAGAGAAAACAGAAGTAATGTCAGTCAAACAATCACATTTATATTACAGGTCAAAGGTGAACGTTCCACTTTAAAACTGGGGATTAAATGTGATTTCAATTAAGAAATAAATATGCAAATTGGGACACACTTCATATGAAGGTTTTTCTTATGTCTTGTTTAATCTGCATCTTTTCCATTTATTAGCCTACTCGCCCTACTGATGGTCAAGGAGCTCGAGGCCCCAAAGGAGATCCAGTAAGTAAAGATTCTTTAGTGAAGTGAAATGTATTCTAATTATGTTTACAGTAGTTTGCTTTTTTGTTTTGTTTTGTTTTCTCTTGTCATATCCTTCCCAGATTTGAACTTTCAGTATTGATACATCTACTTTAGTAGCACTTATTTAAACAAAGGCATAAAATGACAGAGCCATGACAGAGCCCCTAATAGTACATGTAAAGATTCAAATTTCCTAAACTTCATATAATTTCTTCACCTTCATTATCAGTGTGAAAAATAAAAGTCAATAGTGAAAAGAATAAATTACACTTAAATTATTTACATAAATTGGATTGAAAATGTATTTATTCCCAAGACAATATATCACTTATATTGATTCCTCCTCTTATAAAGTAGAGAAGCTATAATCTGATAATGATTCTGAATTACTAGGACTTCTCACTGTTCTGGAGCCCTGGTGGTACAGTGGTTAATAGTTCGACTGCTAACCAAAAGGTCACAGTTTGAATCCACCAGCCACTCCTTGGAAACTTTATGGAGCAGTTCTACTCTGTCCTAGAGGGTCGCTACGAGTCAAATGGGTGGCAGTGCGTTTTTGGTTCTCACTGTTTTATCTCTGATTTTTTTTTAGGGCCCTCCTGGTATTCCTGGGAGAAATGGTGACCCTGGTATTCCTGGACAACCAGGGTCCCCTGGTAGTCCCGGTGCCCCTGGAATCTGTCAATCATGCCCTACCGGTGGTCAGGTAACAAATTTCAGAACTAAAATATCCCCTCTTTAAAACTACCTACTTCATCTTCTTTTCTTTGGACTATATTACATCTCATAATCGTGGATTTCCTACATCTGTACATCTGTATATGCCAGGCATTAAGTGCTTTACAAATGTTCATTTTCTCTTACAATGCTAATGATATTGCTGCTATATCCTTGCCAAATTCCCCCAACTTTCAGAAGACACGTAACATATACACTGTGTTTGACAGATGAATCTGTTAACTCCCAAAAGAGGTAACTTAGATAATTTAGGAATTGCTGCAAATGTCTTCTATTCCCTTTCCAACTCCAATGGTAAATCCTCTGAAAGTTTGGACAAAAAGCAGTTGAAAAGCTGTGGATACTCATGTTGACTTCAAGTTAGAGGGATTATTCATGTTTATACCACTGCTTTGTTAAGATTTCAGTGCACATCCTGCTCCTCCTGAATAGCATAGCAACCAACTAACTGCTCATAATACAAATAAATAAAAGTAAATGTGTGCTCCATGGCATTAGGAGCAATTAGAAAATACACGCACACAAATTTTGATGAGTTTAAAGAAATACTTTCCAAAATCCATTCAGCAAGAAGCAAAAGATATCCTCTAATTTATTCTTGTCCTGATAACCAAATAAAATCCATCTCTAGACTCAGAACTCAAAATAAAAGAAGTTCCAAAGAAATACAATAAGCATGTCAGACTTTCCATTATTCTTGTGCTTATTTTCTATGGGGATTTTTATTTTGGGATGAATCATATCCATCAGAAGCCAGGGGACATGGATTTTACTTGTATCACTAACCAGTTGGGAAAGTCTTTTAACTCCTCCATGTTTGTGTTCAAAATGGGAAGGTTAAACTACATGGTCTCAAGGCTCTTTCAAGCTCAAACAGTTTATGATCCTGTATTTTCAATGTTAAAGGTATTGCTTGTAAATAATAGTTTGAGTAACAATAATAGGAACAAACTATTTAAAATTAACACTGCATAAAGTTAGTTGAAAGATTTGTGTTTCTGTAGGATATCTAATATCTAAAGCTATCTAGAAACAGGATACTCAAGAAAAATAATGCATACCACATCCAATACATACCACATCCTTTGGAAAGCAGAAATTATCAGTGAATAGTTGATGTTGTACTTCTTCTAAACACTTTTGAAAAGAACTGTGGTCTACCATACTAATATGTTCATATCTGTCTGGTTTCTTTGGTACAGAACTATTCTCCCCAGTATGATTCATATGATGTCAAAGCTGGAGGAGGAGCAGTGATAGCGGGCTATCCTGGGCCAGCTGTACGTACAAACATTTAACATTTTAGAGCATTAATTAGCCTTTAAGTTTGTTAAATCTTGGATGGTTGTTCTGTTAGGAATACAGTATTATTATGGAAATGGTGGCATTATCCTAACTCCTCCTTCTATCCTGACTTATTTTTCCTCACCACTTCTCTTTTCATGACTGTTTTGCCACTACTTTCTTCTTTATACAACCACCTACCTATATTGGGGGCCTACCAGCCTTCATGCTTATGTCTCACTCTCTCACACAGTCCTTGCTTTTTAACTAAAGTTTATTTTTGTTTTCCACTTTTCCTTTTTCTCAGCTAAGTTGTTCAGAATCCTTTTTTGGGGGGGAAGGGATGTCTTTTCGTGTAGTAAATGCTACTTTCTAGATGCCTATCCAAGTGATGAATATCTAGGACAACAATCTGTCTCACCTCAAATCTTCAACTCAAACACAAATATCTCCAAAATTTGCTGATCCTTGAGGCTCATCTGCCTTAAATGGTAGACACATTGTGTCTGAAGGGTTTCCTCAATGTAAATGAACTAAAATTTTGATAGAAGAAAATATCAGAAAGCATTGAAACCTGGGCACGTGCACATGAAACCTAGTATCCCACGTAAATGACCCTTGTTATAGCACAACCTCTTGGGAAGAGTGACGATAAGGAAGGTGAAAATTTCACTGCACGGAACAGTGTATGCAAGTGTAAATGACAGCATAGTAATGGTACTGGATTCTCTGGGATTATGAAGGATTGCTCTCCAGACCATGGAGCCTCTTATTTGTGATTTCCAGAACCAGTGGAATAAAACTTTAGCCAATAGATCAAAATGACCAGTTAAAGAAAGCCCCTTAGAATTGGTGTAAATTATATTGGAAAAAGAAATTGTTTACAGACTTCTGTAGTTTTAGGGGAAGTGATTTTTTTTGTTTTAAATCTTTTGAAGCCAGATGGAGATTATGCCAAGATAGGCAAACATTGGGTTTAACACAGCTACATTCCCATTATGAATCTTATTTTTTTAATCAGCCATCTTTTTAACAAAAAAACTAAATCAGGTCATTTCTTTTTGACATCCAAGAAAAGAGATTACAACAGAATATTTAATTACAAATTGCTGTTTTATAAATTTATTATCCATATGTAGAAATAGCATACTACAACACTGAAGGTTATCGAGTTTAATCTGTATTTCTGAATAATGATAAATCAAGTAGTTATAAGTTACTGCTATCCTATTTATTAAATCTCCATGCTAATATAACTCTGTGGCATCTACATCAACGCAATTATAAATTCTGGGGTTGATATACATTGCTATTTTAGAAACTCAGATCATGGGATTTATAGTATGCAGATAAACATTTTTCCACATTGAGTTTGGCAGCCAGTTGCAAAAGCGGTTCTTCAGTGCCAGTATCATTCTAATATTGCAGGGATTCTCATAGCATTTTGTATTGATTTTTTCATATTTCCAAGTCTCTTTTTTTAGGAGATTCATCTCAGTATTTTATAACATTATGAATATTTTTTACTAATTCTGTGGGAATTTAATTTAGAGTGATGGTTTCTTGCTGAGATCTTCTTTATAGAGCTTACAAAATTGATCATATTCATGAATAGTTATTAAGTAATGAGATACAGTTGTTCTCACTTTAAAGAAGTCAATATCATTCCTAAACAGAGTCATCTCTTTGATGTATGAATAAACTGTATTTCATATGCATTTATTTGGTATTTATCATTCAAATTTACATTCCAGGGTCCCCCAGGCCCTCCTGGTCCCCCTGGTACATCTGGCCATCCTGGCTCCCCTGTAAGTATAGCCCTTAGTGGTCCTTTCTTCTTCATACATATTATATATCAAGTTAATATAAATTCCTACTTTAATTTATCCACTCCCAACATGGATAATCCCAAATTAAGTAGATCAGTCCTAACTAAGAAACTGAACATTCCTTGAAAGCTACTGAAATTGTATTTTTAATACCCTTCCACTAACAACTACTAGCAAGTAAAACGTTGGTCATATTAAACCACAATTAATTTATATATGTCTTCAAATTCAAAACAATTCATTTCCAAAGCAATGTGATATAATGGAATGGAATGGAGTAAATTAACTTTATTCTGATTTGAAAAATAATTGATCTATCTTTATAAACTGGAATCAAATTAGCTACCTACATCCACAAATCCTGATTTCTTACTGTCTTCAAGATGTCAATGAATCATATGAAAATTATGTTGCATTCAAAATATTTACATATTATTCAATCCTCTAGGGTTCTCCAGGATACCAAGGTCCCCCTGGTGAACCTGGACAAGCTGGTCCTACAGTAAGTAATGATTATATTTTGTAAATTGAAAATTCCATACAGAAACCACCTTCAGTTTCTAAAACACAGTCATAGGCCCCTACAAAGTGTAGATTACATTTATGATTAAATTTAAACATAAAAAATAATATTTTTATTATAGTTAAGCCAGTTTCCAAGATCTTTTGAGCTCTTTTAATAGTTTAATTATCTTAGCGATACAAGTTATTTAATTCCCTGGCTCATTAGTCGTCAGAGTAGTCCACCTCCTAGTGCTGATACAGATTCTTTCTCTAGTCAGTGTAGATTTCATTTTCCTCTAGCTGCTCGGTTCACTCTTATAAGTAGTTTTCTGATAGGTCATTTTAAACTTAATTTGGTAGAAGTAAGTGTAATCTTACAGAGACCTCTAGGAGGACATGCTGTGTAAGTAAGCAAGTAAAGTGGAATGAGTTTAATTCAATATTGCAAAATATTAAGAAATACGTATGTCATTAGCACATTTGGATTTATAAATACTAACACATATAAAATATAGATACATGATGCTTTTGATTTCCATTAAAATAAGTTAAATAAACAGTAAATATTAGATATAATATTAACTTGGCAAGTGGCAATTTCATGAACAACATTGAAAGTATTTTCAAAAAGAAGACTTTGGGAACACACATAATGGATAATAATAATATAATAGAAAAAGCTACAAATACGTTTGTTTTTTTTTCTGCTGTTGTCATCGTTTTTTTTAATTATTTCCTTATTTTCAGGGCCCTCCAGGACCTCCTGGTGCTATAGGTCCAGCTGGTCCCTCTGGAAAAGATGTAAGTTTTTAAGGATTGCATGTAGATACAGCAAAGTTCAACTTGCAATATTCTTAATAGCATTTGTACTGTTTGCCAGAATCTCAGAGGGAAAAACTTATTCAGAAGATTGTTGATGTCTTAACAACATTTTAGCACATATTGATCTTTGAATATCTGTACAGTATTTGCAGAGCAAGATATACCATTTATTGAATTCCAGACTAATAGAACCTCCAAATGTGCTTCTTGACTTTCTCAAGATTTAGCCAGTGAATATATCACTTAACTGGAGCAGAAATAAATTTCTTCTCTCTGCTACTTATAAAGAAGAAACTTTATGAACTTGAAATATCAGTACTTTATGAACTTGAAAACTTATAAGAATTCTTAATATTATGTCATCGTATCTTTCCCATTTAATTTCCAATGGCAAATTCTTCTCACTTGGTTGAGGGATAGTGAGAATATGTCAGTGAGGAGAGATGCCTGCATTATCTCTTTATAAGATTATACTGAGGTGGGAGAAGCCCTCATTCCTTCTACTAAGAAGGTAATCTAACAATTGTACCTTTAGCCCAACTATTTTGTTCAGCCATTGATCATAAAAATGCAAAGTAATTAGTTCCCTCATTGTCTACAATGTATTTTCTCATACACAAGCACCTATATATTCTCTATTTCTCCACCTAGGGGGAATCCGGAAGACCCGGACGAACTGGAGAGCGAGGACTGCCTGGACCTCCAGTAAGTCTTTGCATTCAGTAAATCATTGGGGCGATCACAATTATCTTAGCTTGAAAATTATTATATAATTAAATTAAATTTAAAAGTAGAAAACATTTTACTACTAGATTGTGATTCTATTTGAAGGTTGATTAATGCCTTTTCTATTAATTATTTTTAGGGTGTCAAAGGTCCTGCTGGCATGCCTGGATTCCCTGGTATGAAAGGACACAGAGTAAGTAGAACTTCTAATTTGATTAGAAGCTGTCCAGTTTCACTATCTTTACTTGCCTAACCAGTTTTACTGGACAATTCAGCTTGTCTCCAAAATGGTTGATTCTGACAACCAATTTGCTGTTGTTCAAAAAACTATTGATGTCATACTAAACTTTGAATCGATGCACAATATTTCCATAGAAAAATAAAAGTCTATCAGCTTTATTTTTTTACCAAACCAGCTAGTTATTCTATGCAAGATGATTGTGCTAATTTTGTATCAAAGTGTATGGAAATCCTTGGGAAAGAATAATTTAATTTTCTTATCACCACTATTAGAAAAAAATGAAACTATATTGTTGAATCCAGCAACTTTATTCTATGCTCTGACATTAAGTAGATTCAACCAAGCCAAAAATCTATCAACTTAGTAAAAAAAAAGACCTCTGAAGCTAAAGTTTGTTACTCCGTAGTTAAGGCAACTTCCTAATTGGACAAAGTTGTACCTTCCAGTCAGTTCATATTTTTTTGCTATAAAATAAATGTCAAATGTCTTCAACCTATTTAAAACCATTTTAAATTAAGACAATGTTGGAAATTTTGCTATATGATAAAAACTAGTTATGAAAGATTCAATGTAAAGTTTTTCAATTCTGGATCATTAATAAATGTTAATATTTTTTACTATTTTTATGTGTTTCATAGGGCTTTGATGGACGAAATGGAGAAAAGGGTGAACCAGGTGCTCCTGGATTAAAGGTAAATCACAGTAAAATAAGCGTCAAAAGTTAGTTAATTTATAAATCTTACAACTGTATTTAAGATTCATATTTTGGAGTTTAACTTTTTCTAAATTTTACTTTTAGAAAAGGAATAATAATGATTAATTGAGGTATTCTAGTAAAGCTTCCATGAAAGTTAAAGTGTTCAGATTAGAAATTATTGAGCATGTGGTTTATTGTTCACTTCTGTTTAGTCAAGTTTTTAAAATGCAGAAATTGGGATTTCTGGTAAAGTGCTACCAGAAATTTGATTTGTTAAAAGGTATCTTTTTCTAAAGTTCTGTAATAGTTTCTTCATAATATGTTGTGTTTAAAATCTATAGAATTATCTTTTATTACATAAAATAATAGCATATTTCATATTTCTAGGGCGAAAATGGTCTTCCCGGTGAAAATGGAGCTCCTGGACCACTGGTAATTATGCTTCTTATTATGTAATTGTCAGTTTTACTATTAACATCCCTCCTCACAGATCAACTGTTCTTATAGGCTCTAAAGTAAAACTATACTTTTGATTTTACTCTGTAGGGTCCAAGAGGGGTTCCTGGTGAAAGGGGGCGACCTGGGCTTCCTGGAGCTGCAGTGAGTATCATCACAGATGCTGTCCAATTACAACCCAAAGAGACAGATATCAGAATCTCAGCCAGATTTCCAGGCTGTGATAGTCCGCAGGAAAATGTTGTTCTTATAAAATCGTACTCAAAATAATCTTGGTAAAATTTTGACCATAAATATAGATAAAAGAATAAATGTTTTATAATTAGTATCTCTGTTTAGGGGCTTTTTAAATTTTAGCTTTGCATATATTCTTAGAGCCACATATTCACATTCACTTCTTTAAAACACAGAATCAAATCCTCATACATTAGAACATTGCTGTCTATATCCAAAATTTTAACAATTTGACTCTAAAAATCTGTAATCAGTAAGCAGATTTTAATATGTTCAGGAAATTTCAACTTAAGTGAGTCAGAATTTTAGTCAAAATGTTAGCTGTGACAAGCCTTTCAGAATTAAGAAGATATTTGAGACAAACTTTTGTTTTTAGGGGGCTCGTGGTAATGATGGTGCTCGAGGCAGTGATGGTCAACCGGTAAGTAACGTTTTATCTAACCCTGCTTTGCTCCAGGGTAGTGAGAAATTATGCATGGTGAAATATATATCTATTTTAGCTTCTATGTTGGCTATCTTTAGATATATATATCTATATATATATATATAGATAGATATAGATATATATATATAAATTTTGTTGTAGAACCAACAACACTCAACCTTATCAATAAACACCTAGTTGCAATTGACACTGAACCATAAACAAAATCTAGACTCTGATATTCTTTACTGTACTTGATCAATTGTTAACATCTGTATGGTGTTTACAATGCTAGTTAATATCCAATATTCAATATAACAATTAAAACAGCCCTGAAAAATAGATGATAATGTTATCTTTATTTTATAGATAAAAGCACAAAAGCTCAGGACTAAGTACCCACTACAAAGTCACAGAATTAATGACAGAAATCAGGGAAAATTCAGATTTTCTAACTTTGATTCCACTCTTTTTATTTTGCAACATTATTTTTCCAAATGATATTCAGCCATGAATAATGAATGCCATTCTGCATAATTAGTCTGCATAAATGTCTTCTGTATTTTGTATGGATTTACTTAATATTAATTAGTAGTGTTACCTTTAATTTACTTGATTAAGAGCTCTAAAAATTGTATTTAACTTTTTAGGGTCCCCCTGGTCCTCCAGGAACTGTGGGATTCCCTGGTTCCCCTGGTGCTAAGGTAAATACGTATTTCTATAGAAGAATAGGAGTCCTGGTGGGGCAGTGGTTAAAGCACTTGACTGTTAACCAAAAGGTCAGCAGTTAGAACCCACTAGCTGCTCCATGGGAGAACGATGTGGCAGTCAGTTTCCCTAAAGATTTACAGCCCTGGAAAACCTATGAGAAAGTTCTACTCTGCCCTGTAGGGTCACTATGAGTCAGAATTGACTTGATGGCAGTGGGGTTTATTTCTTTGTTTTTGTTTTATGGAAGAATAGAAAATATATCTTCGAGCAACAGAAAATTACTGAATTGTTTCTTGCAAATGATTTTTGTTACCAGTCAAAAGAATACCTTTAATCCATACAGGTCTTTAAAGCCCTATTTTATATTTTAAAGTGGCTGTTATCCCCAGCATTCAACTCTTCTGAGAGTGCTTCTAATTCCTTCTCTCTGTTTTTCCTCTTCTTTCTGGGAAGTAGAGATAACACAGTCATACACATGATTACCATTTTTCTCTACCTTCATGATTAATGATTCCTTGCTTCAGCTGCAGTATATAGTCATACTTCAGCCTATGGGAGATGGGTTTAAACAGGACTGAAGAGTAAACTGGCTTACTGATTTCAAGTGGCAAGGGAAATTGACTTCTTAGGGTTTTACCCCTTAGGGTGAAGTTGGACCTGCAGGGTCTCCTGGTGCAAATGGCTCGCCTGGACAAAGAGGAGAACCTGGACCTCAGGGACATGCTGGTGCTCAAGGTCCTCCTGTAAGTAGCAAATATGTCAGTTGAGAGAGAGAGTGGGTCTACGCTTATGCAAGCGTACATTCCAATGTTACTGTCAGTTCAAATTGCCTTCTTCAAAAAATATTGATTAGTGTTCTGCAATGACTCTACTAGCTGTGATAAATACTGATTTGATTAGTACTGAAATGGTCATTTTTAGGGTTACATTCTTCTGGAATTTATGAATTTTATGCTTATATGACACAGAGAAAAGTGGAGGATGGGTAAATTATCCAAAACTTTGGAGAATGTACCCTGAACTAATTACTAGTCAGAATAACTAAGGGAAGAAACAAGATCAAAAATCTCCCCTATTAATTTATTATATGATAATTTAGACCAAGTGCACACTATCCCTAATCTATTTAGATAATCATAACTCTCTTTGCCTGCATTTTTATGTGGTGTGCTATAGTTGGAGAAATCACCTATTCTCTACAAAGCATCATGTTTACCAGGAAATGTATTTTACCAACATATAAACAACTTCAAATATATATGTACTACCTGCATTATTATTGGTATGTTCTTCTTCTCTCTAGGGCCCCGCTGGGAGCAGTGGTAGTCCTGGTGGTAAAGGAGACATGGTAAGCTGGCCCCACACCTCACCCTCATCCACACGTACATTCTTGGCTTCCTTTGCATCTTGCCTAGTGATAGATTTGTGATGTTGAAGTCAGACATTCAGAAAAGAAAGCTCAAGTTCAGTTAATGTTAGTGTTTTTGGGTTGTTTTTAGGGTCCTGCGGGCATTCCTGGAGCTCCAGGACTGATGGGAGCTCGGGGTCCTCCAGGACCATCTGGTACTAATGGCATTCCTGGAGTTCGAGGTAGCCCGGTAAGTTGCTTATTTTTATCTTTGTTGCCTGAAAGGTGTGGCTTAATTCCCCAACAAAAACAGAAATTGCAATTATTTTGCTCCTATTCTGTTGAATTTATATTGATTTCACTCTGATTTTAAAAGTGAAACTTGTGTTACCAGTGATAATTTTGTTAATCTCTCCTCCCTGTTTTAAGCCAAAATTTCATTTCACTTAGGGCGAACCAGGTAAGAATGGTGCCAAAGGAGAAACAGGACCACGTGGTGAACGCGTAAGTATTTCATCACCAGATTTGGTTATTTCTTAGAATAATTTGACATAATTAGGAAGTAAACAAGAAAAAATTTGCAACCAAATTCAGTCATCATTCCTTTATTTTGGCATCCTTTCTTAGGGTGAAGCTGGTTCTCCAGGTATCCCAGGGCCTAAAGGTGAAGATGGCAAAGATGGTTCTCCTGGAGAACCTGGTGCAAATGGACTTCCAGGAACTGCAGGAGAAAGGGTACGTTTTCCTGGAGATATCTAAAAGAAAAACATAATCACTGTCATCCACATAAACTTCACCTTTAGCCAACTATCATTTTTCTTAAGATGAGTACTTAAGCCCAAATATTGCTTTAAAAGATTTTATAAACATACAAAGATCAATATAGACACTCAAGAATTATGGAAAACTTTTAATGATTTGAACTAAAATACTTGGTTTTCATTATTCCCAGGGTGCCCCTGGATTCCGAGGACCTGCTGGCGCCAATGGCCTTCCAGGAGAAAAGGTAGATAACTTTAGTTTCTATTTTCCTAAACGCTAGTACTACAAGTTAGAATTTTCTTCTATAAAGTTTCCCATGAATGAAAACTTTAATTTCTGAAAGGAATATCAGAGTTTAAAAAAATAATTCAGTGTGTAAAACAGTAATTCCAACCCCTGCTCATTCACTTTCCTGGCTCTATAACTAAAGTCAGTCTCTCAGAGTCCTTATCTATCAATTGGGAATCATCTATCTCAACATCACTGAAAGAGTATATAACCTAAAAGTTCTTTGAAAACTCTGAAGTGCTATGCAAATATGATTTCATATCATCATCAAACATAGTTGACTTCATATGCACAGACATATGTTGGTAAGCCCACTAAATATTTTCTTTTTCAAAACACATTATATTCATTATATTCCTTTTAAGATTTTTCCAATATGGTAATATAAGCTAATGGATAACTGTGGTTTTATACATATCATGTCAGCAACATACCAACTCTCTTTCAGAGGCAAATGAAGTTTTCTTGTTGTAATCGAAATATTGTCAATGTCTAGGTCAATGAAGGCTATTTTTAATATTTGTTTCTTTATTTCACCACTTAGGGTCCCGCTGGGGAACGTGGTGGTCCAGGTCCCGCAGGCGCAAGAGGAATTCCTGGAGAACCTGGCCGAGATGGTCTACCTGGAGGTCCAGGAATGAGGGTGCGGTGAATTGTTTATATGAAAGACACTTTCATATAGTAAGAATAAAAGCAAATGAAGAAGGATCCAAGATAACTTAAATCAGACGATAACTTTTATAAGGCTCAAAACAAAACAAAAAATTATTTAAAGAAAAACTTAAACTAGGACAGATGGAGAAAGAACAGAAAATAGAACACTTGACTAACACACTTGATAAACATGAGAAAATGTGTACAAATATGGGGTTACGCATGTAAGTGAAAATCTCAAAAAATTTTTCAATAACTAAATATTTATTTTTAAAAAAGAGATATAATATTAAATCAACTGACTTCTTTAATTTAGGGTATGCCCGGAAGCCCAGGAGGTCCAGGCAGCGATGGGAAACCAGGACCTCCAGTATGTACCTTTTTAAAAATCTAATTTTACAAACTCAATGAAATATGGAATGCATATTTTGGCCTAGGCTTGAATATGTATTTTTATATTTCGGTAAGATCTTATCAAACCTTTATGAGTGTAATTTTTTCTCATTAGGGAATTCAAGGAGAAAGTGGCCGACCAGGTCCTCCAGGCTCACCTGGTCCCCGAGGTCAGCCTGGTGTCATGGGTTTCCCTGGTCCTAAAGGAAATGATGTGAGTTTCTTCAGTAATTTCTTAAATACATAATTATTGGAAAAGGCATTTTAATTTACATATGGGAATGCAGATATGGCCAAAACTTGATCTCCACCTCAAGGCACAGAAAAATATATGAAAATCAAAATGCCATATGAGAAGGGAGCTAAAATACTTTTTACAGAATTCTGCAACATTTACAGATACATAGAAAATCACCATGAGTTGGAATCGACTTGATGGTAACCAATAGCAACAAACTCTAGAAAATAGTTTTTGGTTGTGGGTGTACGTGTGTGTGTGTGGAGGAGGCAGACCAAAAATATGAGAGAACAATATGATTAGCGATTTAATCATGGGAATTAATAAATACTGGGCACTTCTTCTTCAGGGTGCTCCTGGCAAGAATGGAGAACGAGGTGGCCCTGGAGGACCTGGACCTCAGGTATGTGGTGTTCATTGACTTATTTCTAGACTTTTAATGGATGCATTAATCTCTACACTTACGATTTCTCTCTGTTATCTTTGTTATCTCTGATTGTCTGTTGTTTTACTTTAGGGTCCTGCTGGAAAGAATGGTGAAACTGGACCTCAGGGTCCCCCCGGACCTACCGTAAGTTTATTCACGTAAATCAGGATGGAAGTGGGGTGGAGACAGGGCAGAGGGTAGGTTCCAGGAATCATATAATCTCTGACACTCAATCATTATTGTTCACCAAAGTAATTTTGAAAAGCGCCTATTCAGTTAACTAAATGCTAACACTAAATAACGTTTATGTTGTTCAAGTCTGCCTTGTATCACTCCCACAGCCTAGACTCTGCTCCCTCTTCACACTATTACTTTTTAAATTCAGCAGTGGGTCTGCTGCAATGAAAACTGCAAAGACTAAGTATGAAAGGATATTTTATAGTGGAGCATCTCATTATATTTTTTCACATAGGGTGCATCTGGTGACAAAGGAGAAACAGGACCCCCTGGTCCACCTGGTATACAAGTAAGAACTTATTATTTAATTATATATTAGACACCTGCTTTTACCAGAAAATTAAGTACTTCCTTTTGACATCTTTATTTGTTGAGTTAATTTACTGTTCAAATTTGTTGTTATACCAACAGATTACCATTTATCTTGAGCTTAATTTTTTGGTTTGTCTTTCATGTTGAAATAAAATGGCAGGCAATGTTAATAGATAGACATATTTTCATGTTGATTCCAGAATTATAGCATTAATGTAATTAAAAAACAAGCTCATATCATCCTATGTTTTCACTTATTTTTCATTACAATATAAACTCATATAGTCCACCATATAAATTCACGTAGCTAAATCCATCTTACCATGCTCATTAATTCCTTTTTATATGCAGCAACAGAAAGAATAGAGTGAGATGGACATAGGTTTGTAAGATACGATCATCATGTCTCTGGCATCGGATTTTGAGTCACACAAATGTCCTACCACTAAAGAGACCACTAAAATCATTTTGTAAAATAAGTTGTAGAAACCTGTTTACATCTAAGAAGCTTTTCTGTAAGCAATTCTTGAAGTGATTACACGGTACAAATATGATTCTTTGTAGGGCTTGCCTGGTACTAGTGGTCCTCCAGGAGAAAACGGAAAACCTGGTGAACCAGTAAGTTGCATGTCCTTTTTCAAAACTCAGCAACCATAAAAATGAATAGTAACTATTTATCGATTATTAACTTTTGCATTTTCTCTTGCCATGGTATCTAAATTTTAACAATCAGTATTGAAACATTCATTATCAAAACAAAGAGAAAATATTTAAATGGTAGCTATTACATAGAGAGTTTCAATTTTACCATTAAATAAAAGAAACTAAAGAGAGATACATAGCTTCAAGATTTGACAAATTGTACAATATGCAAACAGGTCAAATGTGCATTTTGCTTATATTTTCAAAACATGAATTCTTAATCATATAATGCTCATCTCTTAGGGTCCAAAGGGTGATTCTGGTTCACCTGGAACTCCAGGAGGCAAGGTAAATATTTCAATCTATTCTCTAACTTCTTCAGCATGGTATAGAGTTTGATTAGTGACACACACTTGTTATATCAAACCAAAATACTCGTTTTAGAAGGTAAACATTACAAATGTTTGGTAAATACACTTAAGAAAACTCAAGACATGTCCAAAACATTAAATTTGCTTCATCTGGAAAATCCAATACTGTGAGATTAATAAGCACCACAGAATCAACCGTGGGCCTGAAATTTCAAATAGAAAATCATGCCAATGTACTAATTCTATAAAAGAAAACTGTTTTGGGAGAAGAACTTTAATTATTTACCCTTCAAACCTGGAACTGAACTCACTCCTGGAGATCACCTTTCAGCCAAATAATAGACAGGCCTATAAAGTGAACAATATTACTCGTGAGGAACATGCTCCTCAGAACAATCAACCACACTAGACCAAAAGGGCAGCGTTTGCCCCAAAACAAAGTTCAGAAGGCAGGAAAAATGGGAGAATGGAAACAGCGAACTCAGGGAGGAAGTGGTAGAGTGCTGTCACCTTGAGGGGATTGCAACTAATGTCACAAAACAAAATGTGTATAAATTTGAATGGGAAACTAATTTGTGCTCTGTAAACTTTTGCCCAAATCACAATAAGATGCTTTAAAAAAAAAAAAAGCAGTGATAGAGAGAGACATGCAGAGCACGACAGGACTCAGCTTGCAACTTGGAGTCAAATCCAGCCAAGCCCAATCCAGATCAGCTGAATCCCAGTTGACCCACAGACCCAGGAATAAGAAATAAACACACATTGTAACATATAAAAAAATTTACTCTTATGAAGAAAATAATAAAAGATAGTTCATACTTAGACAGACCAGGTATTATAGTTTCCTTGATTAGGCTCATTCTTTTAAGTTTCTAGTTCCCAAAAAGTGTATGAAATTATTTTTAATAACTATAAAAATTACCAAATTCTTCAAAAATAAACACTGAGAACATACTTTCCCTCACTAAAATAATATAGTTTAAGGTGTTTTTGTTTTGTGTTTTTTTGTTTGTTGTTTCAGCACTTTGGTTTTTCTGAGTATTAACTTTTCCTACTACAGGGTGATTCTGGTGCCCCTGGTGAACGCGGGCCTCCTGGACAGGCAGGGCCCCCAGGGCTTAGAGGTGGAACTGGACCCCCTGGTCCTGATGGAGGAAAGGTAACTCCACAGAATCTGATTAATCTAAATTTTAGAAAATATGTTACATTTTCTTCTTGTGATTTAATATTTCACCCTTCATTTCAGGGCCCCGCTGGTCCTCCTGGGCCACCTGGTACTTCTGGTTCTCCTGGTCTACAAGGGATGCCTGGAGAAAGAGGAGGTCCTGGAGGTCCAGGCCCAAAGGGTGACAAGGTACTGACTTGGTTTCTCCTTATTGTGTAATAAAACAGACTTTATAGGTTAAAAGATAGCAGCCCTGCTGGAAAGTAATCTATTCTCAAAATCAATATTATTATTTTATGCTCTGTGAAATCTGAAATGTATTCCTAGAGTGATTGTCAGAATGTCCTAATATATAACACAGCAAATCTTAAGAGTTGCTTATCTTGGCAGATTTTAACTAAGGATACTTGTAATCTTATTAGAGCTCTGGTGGAGTAACGGGTAAGCTCTGGGTTGCTAACTAAAAGGTTGACAGTTCAAACCCACCCAGGAGCTCCACGGGAGAAAAACTTGGTGATCTGCTTCCATAAAGATTATAGCCTAAAAACCCTATGGGGCAGTTCTACTCTGTCACATGGGATCGCTAAGAGTTGAAATAGACTTGATGGCACCCAACAACAACATAGTCTTATTAGATTGGCTTTTATTTGACAGGGTGAACCAGGCAGCTCGGGTATTGATGGTGCTCCAGGGAAAGATGGTCCAAGGGTGAGTATTTACACGTTTGCGTTGGAGAGAAACAGGCCTTATCTGTCCTTTAAATGGAATAGTCCATTACTTCAACTGTTTTTTTTTTTTAATTTTAAAACTCCTACTGATAAATTAAATCACAGTTTACCACCTCTGGACATTAAGAAGACCCACGTCTTGGTTGTTAAATTGCCTGGTTTATCTTTCACTGCTTGATAGTTTGACACTGAGCTAAGATGGAAAAATCTCAAAATGTGATAAAGGTTACAGGATAAAGTCATAGGAGTCACTAAAATCCAAGATGGTCAATCCTGCTCATTAAGAAACTATATTTTCAAAAGCATTGTAATCCTGTGGTACATCCATACCAGGAAAGAATACTTACCAATCAAAGTAAATGGACTATTTATACACACAACAACTTGTATGAACCATGAGAAGGTTATGCTGAGTGGGGAAAAAAAGGCAATCTCAAAAGGACACATAATGCACGATTCCCTTCATATAACATTCATGAAATTATATCATTTTAGAGATGTGGAATAGACTAGTGATTGTTAGGGTTTAAGGACGGAGGAAAAAGGAGTGGCTTGGCCATAAACGTATGACACAAAGGAGTCTTGTGGTGATAGTACAGTATCTTGATTGTGGTGGTGGTTATGTAATGCTACACATGATAAAATTGCGTTAGAGCTATAAGCACACACACACTGTATGGAACCGACTCAGCAGCACCTAACAACAACAGCAACATATGCACATACACACACTCACATGCTAATGTATGTATAACTGGTGAATTCTGAATGAACTCTATGGATTATATTAATGCCAAATTCTTGATTTTGATATTGCACTCTAGCTGTATGAGATGTTAACATTGGGGGAGGCTGGGGGAAGGGTGCAAAGGACTTCCCTGATTTCTTTACAACCTAATATGGATCTATAACTATTTCAAAATAAAAAGTTAAGAACAGCCTACAACCTAATATGGATCTATAACTATTTCAAAATAAAAAGTTAAAAACAACACATAACAATGTTTAAATCAATCTATTCACATTAGCAAACATCTTCTAAGTATGACCATAGCAAATAAACATGATAATTAAGCCATTTTGTAAATATTATATTGACTGCAATTGCCTCAAAGAAACTCATAAATACTCCTGACAGGCTAGATGGGTAAGCCATCCTCCCAATTAAAAAAATAAAAAGATGCCTAATACTTCATTTATGAAGTGTAAGTGAAACTTTAATATTGAAAAATGTTCTTGTAATGATAGTTTGGTTAGATAATTGAAACATTCTGAAAAATTATCAAGCAGTGGAATAAAGCAATGTGTTTTAATTTTTGCAAGACATTACTGTAAGATCTTATATCACATCATCTGTAATAGAGAGAAAAATGAATGAATCAATAAATTACTGCCGAATCCTATTGTCTTTTAGGGTCATCTCCATGGATTTTTATATTTACTAAGTTCTGCATTATTTATTCTTTGAGTGAAGAGTAGATAATTCAAGCTGTGAAAGAAATCATATTATCAAGTTTAGTAGATGAATGATATGTCTTTATACTCACTATTTGGTTAATACGAAAAATGATGCTTTTTATAGTTAAAATTAAAAATATATTTCTATTTTCTTTAGGGTCCTGTTGGTCCCATTGGTCCCCCTGGCCCACCTGGACAGAATGGAGATAAGGTAATGCTTACCACTATGTAGAAGTGGAAAGAAAATGTCTTTGACTTTTTGAATGCAGGACAGTGGCAATATTTATTTTTTTCTCTCTCTCTCTTTTCAGGGTGAAGCTGGTACCCCTGGACCTCCAGGTCCAGCCGGAGCTCGTGGTGGCTCTGTAAGTGTTAAGGACATTTTCAACATATTATTTAAACCCACACTGGTAACAGCTACTTGAGTTTCTCTCCTTAGTATTTCTGCCTCAAGAGTCTCTAACCCTCAATTCTGGGGTACTGTCTTTAGGGACCATATGACATGTAAGGGAAGGTTAAATTTCTTTTATCTAAAATTCACTAGAGAGAATTTTGAATCATACCTTCTTGCCTATGTCAATCCTGAAAAAGAAACATGAAAATTGTACCAGCAATATACATTTGTAAATAAGTATTTCTTCAACCCATAGAATCTTTGCCTGCAGTTACTTCTAGATTTAAAATTCTCTGCCTTCAGGGCTTTGAGACTAAGGACAGATAGTTAATATTCTTTTAATTAATTAATTGATTTCTCAAGGAACCCTTTTACCATATTTTAAAATACTTATAGTTTTAGAAGTTATATAATTAAATGTGTTAAACACTTCAAAATTCTCAAACTATTTTTCTTGCAATTAAGATCATAGTCAGAGGCGGAAAGAATAAATGGTTTTGGTGTTTTCAACTCCTCATTTTGTTGGCAAATGGAAGTCTTCAAAAGTCAAACTACATTAGTTAGCTTTGCACATTTCCTGTCTAAAGGAAAAGATAAGATGATACATGAGATGATGTGTGCTAACCAGGGATCTCTTCCCTGTAGGGTGAGAGAGGTGAACACGGACCTCCAGGGCCTGCTGGTTTCCCTGGTGCTCCTGTAAGTATGAACATTCAAACATGCATGCTACACAGTCCAGAATCACTATCTTGCTAAAAAAAATAATAATAGCAATATTAGTCAAGCGTAGGTTCTAGTCCTGCCTTAGCCATCCATTCTTTCCCTGTGGGATTATTTTATTTCTTTACCACCATTCTTCCTCTTTAAAAGATGAACGTAATAACTCCTGCCCTGCGTTTATGCCTAAGAAATGGGTTTAAAACAGCACTATAAAGTTCTTTAGTTATAAACTGATAATGTGATTAAAACTTGCTCTAAGCCGTGCCTTTCTTAAATGAATTTACTGGTGCAAACCCTATGGAACACAGTTCTACACTGACACACGTGGGGTCACCATGATTCAGAAATGACTGGACAGCAGCTGGTTTGGTTTTTGTTTATTTTCAAATGCATAAACTTTGGAGAAAATTTCTCCCTGTCATAAATAATATACATCTTACACTTTATTACTAATTTATTTTTAACATGGAGGAAGTATTTTGATTAACTGTGTTTCGCCATGTCTTCAGAGAGTCTTCTTTTCCTGTATCATTTCAATGTCCATGTATCTGAAGCATTCTATATTCTGAAGAAAAATAATGATAAACCAAGTGTATTTTGGAGTGTGTTAGCTCACAGGTTGTTGCTGTTCCTGAATGTAGGGACAGAACGGCGAGCCTGGTGCTAAAGGAGAAAGAGGTGCTCCTGGTGAGAAAGGAGAAGGAGGCCCTCCTGGAGCTGCAGGACCTCCTGGAGGTTCTGGGCCTGCTGTAAGTGTTCTCTCTTTCTCTAAGCTTTCCAATGGAAAGCACTTAGGTTTATTAATAATTTAATATTTCATACTGAGATTACTTGCCATGGTGGTAAGAGTACAATCTTCATAGTAATACATTTCTGATTTGAAGCTTCATTCCAGCTGTGTAGATATGACCTCATTCAAGTTATGTTTATCTCTTCATAAAATTACTGTGTTTCAAAGGCTGAACGCTTGTCTCAAATTTTATTTTTTGTGCTACTTTTATAGAACTGTTTTTCCCTTACATTTCATATAGGGTCCTCCTGGCCTTCAAGGTGTCAGAGGTGAACGTGGTAGTCCTGGTGGTCCTGTAAGTACTGATTCTCTTAAACTATTATTGGAAAGCATCAATTGATATCAATCTGTATAAAAACTGCCTTAAAGACACTAGAACCCTAAAAAGAGTATATATAATCACTCACTTATATATGAGTTATGTATAAATTCAAAAGGAGAGAACAAACCATAAATGACCCCAAGGTAGAATGCTGGTTCTACCATATTTCTTATATCTAGATTTAGTAGATAGTTATTTGTTCTACTTAACTTTTGAAATTCAAAAAAAAATATCATTTCACAGGGTGCTGCTGGCTTCCCTGGTGCTCGTGGTCTTCCTGGTCCTCCTGGTAGTAGTGTAAGTGTTTTTAAAGTATTTTTTATAATAGTTCCAGAAAGAGCATTCATATATGTATAGGATAAGAAACTTACACATTGATACCTATCTTTTCAATAAAGCCTTTATAAAATTATTTGAAAGTAGGTAAAAGAGAGAGGAAAAATAAATTCACCTATTCTTTATAAAATACTTAAATTTCAAACAATTATTTGTAGGGTAGCCCAGGACCTCCTGGCAGCAGTGGTGCTCCAGGCAAAGACGGGCCCCCGGGTCCTCCTGGTAGCAATGGTTCTCCTGGCACCCCTGGGGTGGCTGGATCCAAAGGTGATGCTGGCCAACCAGGTGAAAAGGGACCACCTGGTGCCCAAGGTCCAGCGGTGAGTAGCTTCATTGCTCTGTTGATTGACAATACTTTTTTTTTTTTCTTTTAATCACAAATACTGTAGAGGAAAAACATAGTCATGTAAAGAAGAGCTAAGATGTCATTATTTGTCACAACAGGGACCTCCAGGCCCACTTGGAATTGCAGGGGCTACTGGATCACGAGGTCTTGCAGGACTACCAGGCATGCCAGGTGCTAGGGGAAGTCCTGGCCCTCAAGGCCCCAAGGTAAGTGTAACCATTTTCACTGGATTCTTGTTTTCGTTTGATAGCCTTCAGAGATCACTTAACCATAATAAGTACGCCATGAGCAAGTTTTCCTGTCATAGATGTAAATTATCCAAAAGATGATCTTTTAATTGATAGTTTCATTTTTGGGGGAAGCAAACATGTTATTAAATGGCCCCAGAACATGAAAACAATGTACATCTTAGACCAGCCTTGAATATAACACAAACAAATCAATATCACAGAAAAATATCTTGCTATCTCAAACACTTTTATTAGGAAAATTGTGAGCGTTTTTCAGTTTGTTGACTGTCAGTGTCAAAGGGGAAAATAATGGTAGCTTATAGAGCTATAAGGAACCCTAGTGGCGCAGTGGTTAAGAGTTAAGGCTGCTAACCAAAACGTTAACAGTTCAAATCTAGCAGCCACTCACTGGAAACCCTATGGAGCAGTTCTATTCTGTTCTATAGGGTCACTATGAATTGACTCAACAGACAGGGTTAACAGAGTTATAAATGCCTTCCAGTGATGCCACTTATCCATCAGCTCAAGTCATTTTTTACTCTTGATTTTCTTTCACTAATTTTACTATAATACTACAGTAATTAACATCTTAAATATCCATTAGCCAGTGCAGTAATAAAGTTCTATTTTTACTAGGGCTGACATTTTTACATTCTGAGCATCTGTTTCAACAAAATGTCAGATATTATAATGAAATTAAAATTTAACAGTTCAAGGCATTCAGTTTACATGAACACACTTAGTAAATGTATATTCTTCAGATAGACACAAATATCAATGAAACCTAATTTTAACAGGTACCATAAGCCTATAGTTGCATGAAAGCTTGTCATTTTTTCCTAACAGTGTCTATTGTTATAAATGTTAATTTGTACATCTCATACTAGAATGTATTCTAAATAAGATAATGTAATTACCCATATTTTTGATGTCCAGATCACTGGACAATTTAGAAAATACTCTTGTATAGCTTGCTTCTCGAAAGATTTTCTCTCATATCAGTGATAGTTTTAGGGACAAATTCAATAGAAATTGAAGAAAACAAGATTTTTTTTCTGGAAAATAAAGACATCTGATAATGCCATACAAATTGATTTCTTAAATTAAAATGTATTTTATTCCTTTGTACACAGGGTGAAAATGGGAAACCAGGACCTAGTGGTCATAATGGAGAACGTGGTCCTCCTGGACCCCAGGGTCTTCCTGGACTGGCTGGTACAGCTGGTGAACCTGGAAGAGATGTAAGTCCAAGTTCTCAAGAAATATCCAACCAGCCAGATAGAATCTGCTCATTTACTTAAGCAGCAGTCAAATCGGATCTTAATTTCTAGTAGAGTAAATGTTGCCACATGCCAAATTTCTCTTTCCTTCTCTAATAACAGATATTCTTTCTATTACAACTTAGAATAGCCTTAAAGTTCATGTTCACTAATATTTAATGAATAAATGATCATTAGTGGAGAAGAATATGATCTCTAGCTAAATGCGGAAAAATATTGATAGAGTGCTCCAATTTTTAACGTGTTTTCTTGGTGAATATGTTCTGAACATTTTCTGTGATTCATCTTTCCTTAAATTGTTGATTCCTATTATCAGCTTAGATAAGACTTTCTCAAATTTTATTAGTTATCTCCCCACTAAGGACCCCTTCCAGATGTTTTTTCCTAATCACTTCTTCTCCCATTCCATGAAATTTTAGGACCACGGATATATACTGCATATGGGTTTAGGTACTGTAACCCTTTGAAGGGCCATGCACCATTGTAATATCTAAGAATTTTCACCCCCCAAAAACCAGTTTTGATCCCCTTCAGGACAATATTGCCTCTATTGAGAATGCATGGTTTCAAATAGTTTGATTTCTTTTCCCATTTTTTATCAGGGAAACCCTGGATCAGATGGTCTGCCAGGTCGAGACGGAGCTCCTGGTACCAAGGTATAACAAGCACATGTACAATAGGTCTGTGGAATTAAAGCGATAACTGCTCATTATACTTATTTTAGATCTATGAACTTGCCCACAGGGTGATCGTGGTGAAAATGGTTCTCCTGGTGCCCCTGGTGCTCCTGGCCATCCAGGCCCAGCTGGTCCTGTTGGTCCAGCTGGAAAGAATGGTGATAGAGGAGAAACTGTGAGTTCCGATAAACACAACCTCTCTTTACTTGTCTATTTCCCTCAGTAGAGAGCTTAGTTGGTAGAAGATAGAATGTCAGATATGTTAACCAAAAGATCTGCTATCATTTGTTTTGCAATTTTTATACTAGTTATTTCTTAGGCAGCTATGGTAACAAAGAATATCTTAAAAGTTTCTAGCAGTAGTCAATGAAGAATTCATTACTAAAATCCAAAACAGTATTAATTGGACCATGTTTCTATTTACTGGGTAAATGTAAGGCTGAATTAAGAGGATTTTTACTCGGTTTACCTGCTTAGACCTCTGGAAAAGATATAAACAGGGAAAGGGCTGTGAAGGAGAAGATAATTCTAACTTTCAAAAATCCTGTGCATGCTATTAGTCCATCACAATGAAATTATTAACTTTTAAAAACAAAATTTTATCGATCAATAAGCACTTCTTTGTGAGTTTGTCATTTTGTTCATTTGTTTTCATTTTAGGGCCCCGCTGGCCCAGCTGGTGCTCCAGGTGCCGCTGGTTCTCGAGGTCCTGCTGTAAGTTTTTGTTTCTTAAACTCATCCAAAAGTGTA